ATCTTAAAGTTGCCACGGTTGAGAAACACTGCCCCAGACTCTGTGTTTTCTTTCCACAAATGATGGTGAAACACACTAGAAGAAAGTTTGATCTTTTGAGTGGTCAGCATAAATTGAGCAGTAGGGGAAGACCTATATTTTTTACAGCCCTCTGCTCCCATCTCCCTCCTTCCCAGTGACCTTTGTGAAATGGTGAGAAATGATTAGCAAGACAGTTGGCAAAGCACTTCTCTATTGCAAAAATGACAGTGGCTCTCTTATTTATTATTTATTTATTCATCAGATTTGTCCTTATCCTGATCTAGTTCTGTCTAGTTTAGCAAAACATGGATATCGGGCACGTTCCATCGTACCGGATCTTACTGGTGCCTCGCAGCACCAGGCAGTGGGGTTTGCCAATTGCTGCAAGCCACAGAGTCAACGGCGACACCGGCTATGCGTGTTATGTTCAGGGCATGATCCCTTCACAAACCAAAGGATGCTTTAAGTGTGTGGCTGTGCATTTTTTCAAGCAGTACCAATAGCCAGCAAATGTGCTTGCAGACTGTTGTATTTACCTCAAATATTTTTATGGGGTGAAAATAGAATCTCACGTGGAGAACATCTACCCCTTACGTCAAGGACTGGGAATCTGTGGGATCTCAAGCAAGGTCTCTCCCCTAACATCGCCCACATATTCTGGGGAGAAGACGCTGCCAGCTTTCCCTCAAGATGGTGTGGTTGTGATGGAGCTCTCCTGCCTTTTTTCTCAATGACAGAGTCCCAGGAGCCTGTAAGATCCTTTCAAGGGCTGCAATTGATTCTTCTTTTTTGGCAGGAATAGCTGTGCTTTAGATAGCCAGCCTTTTTCTTCAGCGGGAGTCATGGGGTGGCTGAAGTGCTCCATGGAAGGGGAGGCAAGAACTTGATACTTTGTCCTGCATGGAAAACTGTGTTCCATTCAAAGGAGAATGGATTCTCCAGTTTGTCCTCTGTGGAGAACCTTTATTCCCCACAGGAAATGATTTCCAATTGGAGGAAAATTGGGTAGGGCTGTCAAGGAAGGACCGGGGGGCTTCTCCCACCACAAGCGCCTACCTTCCTCATTCGCCTTATCACAGGATGGAGGGTTGGATCCCACTCCTAACTAGAACTGGTTTTGTCCTTCTCATCTAGCGTTGCAAGAGACACAACGTGATCTCTTTTCTGTAGCTGAGTAAATTCAGTCCAGGACTTGTATCCCAGGCAAACATTTTGCTTAAGGTTCTTCAGCGTAGTATCTGTCAATCGTTTAAATATCACTACTTGAAAACAACTGAGATGTCTAATTCAGGTAGCTTCTGAATTACGTATGGGAACATACGTCTTGCTTTTCTTATTTTCATGGTTAGACACAGTTGCTGGTTATTTTCTTCTTATTTTCATGGTTAGACACAGTAAAACCAGAAGCTGAATTCTTTGGATTGCATTGGAATTATAGAATGGGGAATAAAGAGAAAACATTTGAAGAATTGTGCTGTAATTTGCTGTAACAAGGTTTACCCTATAAATGTATGTTAAATGTGAAAATTCTGGAAAATGACATTTCCAGAACTAAATACCTCTTCCTCCTTGGAGGTGGCTAGCATCCATGGTCCTGTGCCTCAATTCATATTTCTTATATCTGATGAATTGTAACACAGGAAGACACTCAAAATACATATTTTGAGAAAAAGAGAGGTACTGCGCTGCTGGACCCTGACATGACTACACATCCTTGAAAATTGTGATAGGCGATGATTTACTGAAAAGAAATGCCAGAATGTTTTTTTATGGGTGACACATAACAGGGTCTGAGAAATAGTTTGTACCACCGATGTTGGAAATGTGTAAGTCATTTAGTTTACTGCCTTTTCTCTTTGCAAATTAGTTACTGTTCAGCACAGGTGAAAGTTTTCTTTTTAATCTGAAAAGCAAACATTTGCTTTTCCTCTACATTTTCATGCTTTCTCTGTTTTTTTTTCCCCTTGCATGGTTTCATCTGGATTACAACAGAGAAGAAGAAAATGAGGTAAGCGCCAATTACTCCACTTCTGTTTTCGTTTTTAGGGCATAAGGAAGCCCTTGTAAAGATTTTGTTCTGTTTCAGGTAGTTCGAGAGAGAAAGATTTGACACATGCCAGAAGTCAGCCATTAAAAGAAGAGTAATGGCATTGGAGAGGGGGTCAAAAAAGTAAAAAATCTTGACTTTTTGACACACACCCCATCCCCGAACAGGATGCTTCATAATGCCTTACATTGGAGCTGTAATGGTATGTAGAAATGACCTTGGGAGACAGGAGTGAGAGCTGCAGATGGGACAACCGGCATGTAAAAGATGTCTCAGCCCACAGAAGGAATAGGGGCGTGGGAAGCGTTTCAGAGGGACCCTCCCTAGCTTGCTGGAGAGTAAAAGGAAAGGAAGGGAGAAATACTTTCAGTCTTGCAAGATTGATGTTAGCCCTGCGAGGGAGTCCAGACCAGAAGCACAGCCAGGAGTACTAGCTCTAACTTTATTGTTAGGTTACGTTAATAGTATCTTGTAAGACAGAAAGTATTTCTCTCCTCCTTTCCTTTGACTCTCCGGAAAACTAGGAAAGGTCCCTTCTGAAACGCTTCCCGCACCATCCCCCCTTCTGTGGGCTGAGACGTCTTTTACATGCCGGTTGTCCCCTCCAGGACTCTCCTTCCTGTCTCCCAAGGTCATTCCCACATTCCGTTACAGGAGCCTTCAGCCCATCTTCTCGGTTAGCGCATCACTTTGTTTCCTGGGTTAGAGTTCCTGTCAGGTATTGGGGAGTCGGGCAGAGGTCAGCAGGGAATGGCCACCTCCTTTTTGCTGAAGAAAATCACCAGGCGGTCAATCCACAGGAAAGCCCTTCCCTAGCAAATGGTCCCAAGTCTTGAAAATGGTCTCTTAGTGTTTGGCCTTTCTTTGGGTTTTACTTGCTCATTTCTTGCCTTGTAGGGCAAGACCGAAAATGTACAGAAAACTGGCTTTGTCAAAGGGCCAGTCTTCAAGGGAGTGGCCTCAAGCCGTTTCTTACCCAAAGGCACCCGAACGAAAGTGAACCTTGAGGAGCAAGGGAGGCAGAAAGTGTCCTTCAGCTTCAGTCTCACCAAGAAGACTTTGCCGAACCGATTTCTGACAGCCCTTGGGAACGAGAAACAAAGTGAAAGCGTGAGCGCTTCTGCCGCACCCCTTCAAAGTGACTTTGCTTCCAAGGTGAAAACAGAGCTTGGTGATACTTTGGGGGTTGCAGAGGAATTTTCACCCCCAAAGCCTAAGGCGGAACTGGGCAAGATCCATTTTAAGAAACATTTGCTAAACGTTACCACAAAACCTTCCCCGACTTCTGCCGGGCTGCCAGTGCCAGTAACTCCAACGCCACCTGCTGCAGCAGAACTGGGGGAGGCGCCGTCATCACCACCTCCCCCTCCGCCCCCTTTTCCACCACCCCCTCCTCCACCTCCACAGATAAAACCAGCTCCAACACCAGTACTAATTCCAGCAACTTCACCGCAAGTTTCCGTTGCAGTCCCAGCACCTGTTGCACCTCTGTTGACGTCACCTGTAGAAACCATTGTTCGAACAACAAAAGAACCACCATCCAAAGCGCCACAGGAGACTTTGGAACTAAACGTTCTACAAAATGCTGTGCTGGGTGGCTCTGAAGAACATCTGGCTCAAGTTGTTTCTGAGGAAGCAGAACCAGTATCAGTAAAAAGACATTCCCACATTGGGAAGGAGGAAGAAATTCCAGATAACTCAAAGGGTGCTTCCCTGAGTTCTAAGAAACAGAGTTCAAGGAGGAAGTTCTCTTTGTCTGATGGTACGTTGCCAGGTTCTGAATCTGATGAAGATTCTGTGAGGACTTCTTCAAGCCAGAGGTCCCATGAAATTAAAACATCAGCAAACTCTGAGAAAGAAAAGGATTCACGAAAAAGCTCTGCTTCTTTCAAAATGGAAGAGCAGGCAAAGTTCTCTTCGCGGTCTAGATCAGAAAGGGATGAAAAATATTCCAGCTATTCCAGATCTGAGAGAGATTCAAGGTACTCTTCCTCACGGTCCCGATCGGAGAGAGAGAGGAGGCGAAGCAGATCCCATTCCCGCTCTAGATCTGAAAGAGGTTCTAGAACCAGCTCCTCTTATTCTAGATCTGAACGGTCACATTACTATGATTCTGACCGGAGATACCACAGAAGCTCACCATATAGAGAGAAGACACGATATTCCCGTTCTTACATGGACAGTAGAGCAAGGGAGAGTTCTGATTCAGAAGAAGAGTATCGGAGGATGTATTCTAGGTCTACAGATTCAAGGCATACATCATCTCATTCCTCGTCTTACAGAGATTCCAGGACCTCTTCCTCTTATTCAAAGTCTGAGAGGGAAAGCAAGACAGAATCCACTCATACTGATTTGGAGAGAAGAGGAAAACTTGCAAAGTCAGACAGAGAAACAAGAAGGACTTCAGAAAGTGATGTATCGAAAAGGTGCTCTCCCATCAATGAACTGCGACATCGGAGGGATGCCTCCCATTCTAAAGCAGAGAGCAGTGTGAGTTCTTCCCGAACGAAGTCCACCTCTTCAAAGACATCTGCGCCCAAGTCAGATAAATTTAAAAGTTCTTTCTGTTGTACAGAATCTGAGGAAATCAAAGATCAGTCTAATTGTGTAGACTCAGAGACATCTTGTGTACAAAGCTGTGAAACAAAAACTGCTGTTACACAGAAGCCAGAAACAGAAAGGACTGTTTCTCCATTAAGTCAGTTAAATGATTCACTTACTTTCAGAAAGCTAGATGAATCAAAAACGGGTTCCCCTATTTCTAAGATGAATGAACTTGCAGGAATTGATAGCCATATCAGTATTAAGGAAATGGAATCTTTAGTTAAAGTAAAACATGATCAGTTAAGGACATGTTCTCCAGTAGAACTGAATATAAATGGGTCCCCAGAAGGTAGGAACAATAATACCGCATTGTCCTGTACTTCTGAAGTAGAAGAGATTGAAGTGTCTTCTGACGATAGTTTAGATAGACCTGAGCCACCACATCAAGCCAAAAGTCCTAATTTGAATAAGTTGCCATCGAATGGTATTCAAATGGTATGTCTACCTAAAGGATATAATCCAGCCGATTCTCTTGTCTTTTTGGGTGAATCCAACCTTTTGCCGAAAGAAAAAATGGAAGTTTCAAATCCTTCTGAATATGAATGTGTATCTTCTTGTACCAAGCATGTAAATCACTCTAAAACATTGTCTAAAGAAGTGAATGACCTAACAGATTCCTCTTGTAAAACCAAAGATCCTATCCCTTGCTACTTTTCAGACGATGCCCCTGTTTCTTTGTATTATTCAGAAATTGAAATTGAAGCGGAGCCTTCAGATACAAAAGCTACTCAAGAATCTTTTATGGGTATTCAAACAGAGATACATACTGAAACATTTATGTCAGCTCACATGGAGGATCAAAATCCATCCAGATTGGCTCAGGAAAGTGAAAAATGCACAAGTTTCAGTTCAGTAGAGCATACACCAGCCAGAGATTTTACAACAGAAGAATATTTTGTGGAAGTAAAAGTAGACAATCAGTGCGTTGCACAGCAGCAACAAACTTCTGAAAATATGTTCCAGCTGGAATCACCCATACAGCAGAAGCCTAATGAAGTCTTAACATGTCCTGAAGTTGCACTTGAATTAGATATTCTGCATGCAGATTCCATTGTAGAAAAAACAAAATCACCTTTTAAAAATGAGCATTCTTATTATTTAGAGATGCCAGTGAAAGAACCTGAGAAGGAAGAACAAGTTGAGGAGAAAGATTCAGTTCCCGTTGATGAAAGGGTCACGTCTGACTTGGAAAAATCTCCTGGAGTTTTGCTGATGAGAGACAAAGAGGACTCCCTGGTGGAATCTGCATTTTCAGATGTTTTGTCCCCTTCTTGTGATATTGTAGTTACTGTAGAAGAAACAGAAACTATAGAAGAAGCGCCCAGGTATGGTAGCAGCAGCAATACTCCAGAAATCTTTTCCGTTCACAATGAAAATTATTCTGATACTGCTGAAAGTGCGAGCGAACAGGCGAGCGATGAAAGTGAGACAGAGGACTCTGATTCAGATGATAGCAGCGTTCCAAGGAATCGCCTTCAATCCGTTGTAGTCATTCCAAAGAATTCTACAATAACCATGGAAGAGAGTAGTTCTTGTTCCTCACGGAACAGCCAAAGTAACAGACGTTACTTGGATCACTGGGAAGACACCAGGCCAGAGTCCAGCAAGCCGTTCTATGAAGACATGCCAGATAGCTTGGAACTGAATAACAGCATGCAAAACGAAAGCAGAGGCTTGCCTTCTAGAGACACCGAGGGAAGCTCAGCAACGTCTACGGAGCTCAAGAGAATTGAGACAGTGGGTCCTCAGCCCGATGCCTCCCAGCCTCAGAGCGATGATGTTGACAGTACAAGTCACTCAGAGCAAGCATCTGATTCTTTTCATAAGCCAGACGAAAGAATAGTCCTAAACGAAACCACCTCGGTCACTCGGTCAGTTGGCATGTCACAAGGAGAAGAGCTGCACTATCTTTCCAGGAACTTTGAAATGTCCAACACAACGGCCAGGTCACAGACCGGTGTTTCCAAATCAGACCGTAGGCAGGGGAGGTCTGCTTTTGCAGGTCTCTCCAACACCGCTGATTTCTCCAGGGAGGATGGCTTTCATTCAACAGAGGACTTGGGGAACTTGGGGTGGGATTTCTCCCAACCAGAGAAGCCAAGCAGCACATACCAACAGCCTGATAGCAGCTACGGAGTTTTCCCAGGTTATGTTTATCCCCCACCCGCAGGGCCGTATGTTGGGTCTCACAACTACTGGCACGACAATGGCTACTGGGACCCAAGACTGACCAGCAGACCTTCTGCAATTAGTTATGAGCGAATCCAAGGGCAGGTCCCGGATTCACTCACTGAAGATCACGAGGAGTACGAAGAAGTGGACCGATGGGTCGACGAAAGCCAGCTCTATTTCCCTGATCAGTCAGTTAAGTTCCAGGCACGTGACCCCAGAGAAAAGGGTTCTGTTCAGGGCCATGAGATAAGCAGCAACTCGACTAAAGACTTCCCAGTGGTAAGAGAGAGAAAAGAACCAGTTAATAAGGTGTTGGAGAAAAATGACATGAAAGAACGGGGGCCGCTGAAAAAAAGAAGAACCGATTTGGGGAGTGATTCGGAGAGTGATGGGGGCTCCCAGGAAAGGAAGAAGGTCAAAGCAGAGAGTGAGCAGTTGCCTGTCCTGCCCCAGGGCTCCCCGGCAGCTCGGCCGTTGTGTTTCATGGAAGACTTCCGGGACCCACAGCGTTGGAAAGAGTGTGCCAAGCAAGGGAAAATGCCCTGTTACTTTGATCTCATTGAAGAAAATGTGTATTTGACAGAAAGGTAATTAGCTTCACTTTCTTATGAAAAGAAGTGCATGCCATCGTGGGGTGGCAGGCCAGGTGTATATAAAGCCTAAAAAGTTGGATCTGACAGAGTGAGAACAGGGATGGGCCATTACAATTCAATCTTGTTCAGGATGCTCTAGTGAGAAAAGGGAAGACCTG